AGTGAAAAGACTGCTCAAACTCATGATATTGCACCGCAGACCAAGCAGCGGTAATTCACAAAAAACTCATTAAAATTTAAAAAAATTCAACTTCACCTTTCCACACCACACTTTGAAAACAATAAAAAAAAAAAAAGGAAAAAGAAAAAAAAGAAAAAAAAAGAAAAGAAAAACCACACCCAAAAAAAAAAAGAAAAAAGAAAAGAAAAGAAAAACCACACAAAAAGGTGCACCTAACTACCACGTTGCTCCAGAAATTGTCTGCATATATTTTGTCCGCAAAAAAATTTTTTAAAAGATATTTAAATGTCTTTCAACCGTCTGACCCTCTGCGTGTCCGCACATCGTTTATATTTCATGGGGTCATCTGCGTGTTGCTGCTCCCCTCAGCCCTCTCATCGGCGCGTGAGTGCGGCCCGCAGAGCACAGTCACTCTTCTTGTGTGCGGGGACTGAGAGAAGCACGCAGACATGACGGGAGTCGCGTCACTCCATCGGGAGAGTGAGCGCAGCAAAAAGAAAAATCATCAGGAGGGAGAGAAATGCTGACGGGACTGCCACCGCATGGAATGAACACAAAAACAAAAGAAAAAAGAAAAACACGGCGGCAGGGTGTGGCTGTGTGTGTGGCGCTGCTGGTGTCTGGCCGCCCTGGCCGCAAAAAAAGAAAACAAAACAAGAGGGAAAGAAATGTGTGCTCCGCCCCACAGGCCCTCGTCGCACGCCCACACGTCACGGCTCCCTCAGCGCGCCGTTCGTCGCGGCCCCTCCTCATGCGTGCAGCAGGCGAGGCGCACAGGGCCGTCGTCATGAGCGTGTCGGTGGGTGTGCGAGTGGAGCAGTTGGGCGGGAAACACACGGCACCCCTCACAGGAAGAGTGCAGCAAGAAACAATTAAATAGAGAAAAGTAGAAAAGAAAAAATCACTTTTTTAGTGGTTGCCCCAAAAGCAAAAAAGGAAGGAAAGAGTGGAGCAAAAAAGAAAACAAAAACAAATTATTCTCTGCGTAGTAAAATTTGTTCCTAGCGGTGTGTGTGAGTGTCGGTGCAGGGGTTGGGGCGCAAGTGTTCCACGCTGAGGCCGCACACTCCTCACAAAGCCGCAAACCCCCACAGCCCCAACAGAAGCAGAAGCAGCAGCGGCATAAGTCCGCTCCCAGCAGAATTCAAGCTCACCTCTGGCACAACGAATTGTACATCTTCAGTCCGAGAGGTATTCCTCTTTGCCGCTCCACCCTCTCTCACTTCTTCAACCGCATGGGGGTCCAATGTCATGGGCACCGCTGGAGCTGCTGAATTTTTCTCTGGGCCAGACACAACAGATGCGATGGTTTGAGAAACACCTCCCGCTTGTGGTTCCAGAGCTCTCGTCAAAACGGGGATCCTGTCCTTTATTGCAGTCATCTCAGTGGGATTCAGTGGGCGGTTGTACAGAAAGACGTTCTTCACCGTCACGGGAGAGTTTTGCATACCGCACGCGCCAAAGCAAAAGCCTGCAAGCTCAAGTGGTGTCTCACCTGTTAACGGCGCTTCTTCCTCCCCCAGCAATTGACCATCAATGTACACAGAAGCCTTTTTGCCTTGCAGCATGAGTGCCGCTTGGTATTCTTTCCCCGACTCCCAAGTGCCACTTTCTGTTGTCTTGTCGTTGAACATCGTCTCCCACTTGTTATCCGCGGTATACAAGATTCCCATGGTAAGCGGGGATTTAGTGTCCCCCAACGTCGCACCCAGTAGAGGAGTGTTATTACTCGGAGCCACTTCGATGGTCACCGACGCCACAAGTGTGAAGTTGAGGCTCAAAAACACATGACGCACATTACCATCCGGAATGTTTACAGGCCAAATTACCCCGGAGTCAGACTCCGTCAATTTCAATCCATCCTTGACCTTCGTGGCGTTCCTCACCGTCGCATTGAGGCAAAGGTAATCGTCGTTCCACGTGTCACCGCTAGCCGCATCGGACAAAACTGCCACCAGACCCGCCGTGGGTATAGAAAAGCTGGAAAAGAAAACGTCCTTTTGTGCCCAAGTACTGAGGACGGACCTGATTTTACTCAGCTCCTCCGTCAGGCGGGAAAGTGAAATGACACCGCCTTTATCGCTGTCTCTCTGTTGTAAAAGATGCAAATTGCCATCCGAGTACAGCAGGCTGCTGGCGAACTCCCACCTCACAGCAGCCTCCTCCATGGCAACAGGTCCAACACAAAACGAGCGGTTGTTGTCCGTGACCCAAAGATAGAGCGGATTGGCCTTATTTTCCCCCGAGGCGTACCCTCGCTGAGTGTACAGCATGACCTTCTTTTTCCCAATGGTCGCAGTGATGAGGGCATCCACATGCAGGCTTAAATTCTTGGAGTCTTCTGGTTGGGGTTTGGCCCACACGCCTGAGAGTTTCCCGATGGTTCCCGTCCACGTTGTCCCCATGTCACGCGACTCGTACACCCTCTGGCCATTCTCGCAATCAACAATCATGAGAAGTGATCCCTCCCACTCTGTGATGCGGGGTTTAAGGCATTTCGCTGGGGAAACGCCCGTTGAGATCGACCAGGTACTGCCGTTGTCCGTCGAGTAAATGATCATGGAGTAAACGACACTATTTCCGCTCTCCGCCATCAGAGAAAACACAATGGTGCCATCCTCCATCAGAACGCCTGCGCCACCAGAAGCAAGGCACTTCGTCAAGTTAACTTTGTGAGCAGCTAAAGTAGTCTCGTTGAACGGAGACTTGATTTCGCCCCATTTGATCCATTTACTTGGCCCTTCGCCCGCAGAAGGCTTCGCGACATCACCCACAACCAGTTTTAGTTCGAATCTGCCCTCTTTCCAATTCCCACCACTTTCATTGTGCACATCAACGCTTCCCGCAAGAAGAAACACCTTATTGCCCTTCATCGTTGTTGTTGGATTGAGTAAAATACCCACACGATTATTTGCTCCATCCGTTGTACCAAGCACGGTTTGTGGCTTCCATGTACTTTCCCTCACCGCGCCAACAAGAGTGGACCAATCCCACGAAGAGTCGATGTACTCCGCAACAACATCAGAGTAAAAGTGCTTAATTAGTACATAATTAGTGCCATATTCGGCCTTCATGCGACCTTCGGAAAAAGCAGCAATTACTCCACCTGCACTGACGAGAGAGGGTGCAGCAAATGAATCCCACTTTGTCCCTGAAGTATCTCCACCTTCCGGCAGCACCTGCGTTGTCCGCGGCACAAATAAATCAACCCTCTGCAGCTCCGGAACACTTTTTAAATCACTGTTGCCATCATTCTCCTTTGCAGGCGTAGCTCTACAGGTGGCGCAGCACATCATCACGACGAGGAGGAGCAGCACAAAATGGAGGAGATGCCGGGACATGTTGGGCCTCTGCTGCTCACTCTCTTTTCCTTCCCTCCTCCTTCCGCTGGATCCGGTCACGCCGCGACGGTTGTGTGTGCGGGGAGCCTTCACCGCAGCAACACGTGAGACCATATAAATACGTGTGGGTGGGCGGTGTGTGTGCTGTTGTTGGTGCTTTCAGTGCCTTCGAATTTCACAGTAGCGATTCGCGCTTTTTTTCCTTCTTTCCTAGCGTGTGTCTGTTCAAGAGGTGGAAAGAAAAGAGAAAACAAGCCAAGCAAAAAAGGTGAGACAGCGAGCACCGCCACTCCGCACCGGCCATCGCGGGCGTCACGGCGGGCCGTCGGTGTGTGCAGGCCAGCTCTCATGCGGTGCAACACGCCACATCCAACAGGTAATGACAGACAGGCAGGCGGAGAGAGAGATGAATGGACGCCGTCAAGAGGCACTCACAATCCACATGGCCCGTGAGCATGCGGCCACTCCACGCAGGAACACAGGAGAAAAGGATGAGAGGGGAAAAAAGCAAGAAGCAGCACAACACACACGGAGGGAACAAACGACAGGCGGGAAAAGCACCGCCACAGCCCTCGCCCTGACCGGCAACTCCACACCAGCCCTCACACACACACACCATCGCAGTGCCGTCAGTCCGCGGGTGAGAGGATTCGGCCCTCCACACAACAAACGCGCACATCGCCAACAATCACCCACAATGGAAGATGAGAAAAGACACACCGCCACCGTCTCCAGTTCAATCCCACGGCCAACGGCATACGGCCACAGCCCCGCAGCCAACAGACAACGCACACCGAGCGAGCAATCACCCAAAGAGCCACACGTGGAAGCGGATCCTCATCCATGACGCGGCGTCTCACTCCATGCGGTCACACGGAGTGCACCATTTCCTCAATAGAACTTATTCGTCGTCCATCCCCTAAAGCTGCTTCTGTTCGTGATGGGCCTTCGAACACAATAGAAGAAATGGACAATGCGGTAACGCAGTGACACCACCAGCCACAATTATTCCCTCATACCGGGGCAATTCTCCAATTATGCCTTTTGTGCACACACAATCAAAATAACATATAAAGATCACCCAATGTTTTTCACCAGAAACCAAACAACCCCTTTCCCTCCCTAGTTTATTCTGTCACTGTTAATTTCGATAGCGTTAAGCATTTTTGGCATTTGTGTGCGATGCCGCCGCATGGCGTTGGTGCACCTGCACCGTATGCACAGACACAAGCATCCAAAAATACATAAATCCCACAACATTTTTTTACCACAAATCAAACAGTCTCCTTCACTTTCAATTTCCTAATCTATTTTCCTATTATTATTTTTTTTTTTTTTTTGCACACTTCGGTGAGCCTCGTCTATTCCAAAGTCTCTGGATGATATTGACACCTGGTACTGGCGTATCTCTTCCTCCCAGAACGCCGGATCTCACGGCCCTCGTCGCTCACACTATTGGGAATGACGACATCGCATCTCTGCCATTCATTCATCGCTGTGCTGTCTGCGTGCTGCACACAAATCATCTCCCACGACAAGTCACAGGATGATTCCCCCCAACCATTTAAATACGCTGCCAGGCACTCCGTGAACTGCCTCACAGTGCTGGCTCTGGTGTGGTGCCCACCCGCCGTAGCCATCCGCAGCCCAACCAGCGTCTTCCGTCGCGACTCCATAAAAAAAAAAAGGCGTCCACCAGCGGGAAGCCTGCACCCGCCGGTATGCACAGCAGCCGATGCTTTATAGTATTATTTGTATGGTATTCCATTGCAGCCGATCCACATACAACTCGGCGGGGTGCCCTTCAGAATTTGCCTTCAGCACTGCGTACTGTCCTCCACGGCGTGCTGGTGGCCTCGGCTTCTTAACGTCCTCTACTAATGCACTGACAGACTCCCCAAAACATGAATGCGCGCAATCCAGACCTTCCCATACATTCAGACAAAAGAGTATTCCTCTTCCCCAATACCAGCAACAGAAAAATATATATATATCCTTCTCACTCATCACGTTCCAAAAAATAGTGAGGTATTCGACGCCCGAGGCAAACAGATATCGGTGCGTTAAGAAATCCCTCAGCACCGACTTCTCCTCTTGCACGGACAACCCTCACGAGCTTTTGAAAAGGATTCTCAGAATACCACAGTCTCACTCCCCCATCTGTAAAGTGCTTTTCACCATCCCGGGACTTGATCCCATCCAAGGCATCCTCAATGGCAGCAGAGTGTGCAATGAACTCATTCGCATCAAAGACGTAACGTGGAATCGGCCCCACTTTATCCATGCGTTCTTTGACCATCTTCCAGTATTCCGCTTTTTTCTCTGCAGTGCCATCACGCTTCATCCATGCACACATCGCCTTCACATCCATCACAGCAGGGCAATTCGCGATGATACTCTAGACTACTACTTTCTTCTCCCATTGATCGTAGTTGCGCACGTTTGGCGATGACACCACAATCATGCCCCATCCGGTGCTAGACACTAAACATTTCGTTGACGGCGTTCGTTGCTTTGCCACATCGTAGATAATATACACTTTCATCCCACAATCTCACACATCACACAAAAACCTCTTGCATGCCTTACCACCCACGTATCTTGTCACCGTCTTGATGGTCTTGTCAAACAGAAATGTTTGTTCCGCAACACTGTAGACAGCCACCTGGAGTTTCTCCGCATCGTAGTGCAGCAGCTGGTAGAGGAGGTACGAGCCGGCAGCCATCGACACCCCAATCCCGGGCGTCCCAATCAACACACGTCGCCTTGGCTCAAAGTAGGTCCCAGGGTGAGGGCCGAACCACGCGGTGAGATCTCCCTTGACGATCTGCCACACTCGCTCCACCTCACAGTTCACATAGCAGTCACGAGTGGATTCATCCTCCTCCCACGAGCACGGCTATCCCTTGTCCGAGGTGAGCACCATCAGCCTGGGACGCGGTGCACCGGATTGCTCCGCACTGTCATCCTTTTCGAGGGTTGGGCCAACTGCCTTGTACGCCTATGACTGTTCTGGCTTCCCCTCCTCCACCTTCATTCCAATTCCGCTGTCGTCAGGAACTTTCACCACATGGTTCCACCTCGCATTGTACACAGACTCGTAGCATCCCTCCAGGTATATCGGTGCGCTCGACTTCTTTGGGTTCCTCGCTTCCTCGGCGGCTGCATCCAAGAACCTTTTAGTGATTTCTTGAACACTTGCTTTTACTTCCGTAGCAGCTTCTGATCACTTCAGTAGATCGTACACACCATTTTTGTAAAGCTTCTTTATATCCATTTCACCCCTCACAGCCCTCTCCATCCTCACATAACAATCGGATGCCTGTATTTCGCACAATACTCCCGCATCGCGAATATATTTCTCGGCATCCTTAAAAACCCTCCTGCAAGACATCCTGATTGGCGTCCAAAGCGCCTCTGCCGTCCAATTCCATCGTAAGAAAATCATTCAGTCCCATTTTGTCCACGCGAACCCTTCCTTTAAACACCGCATATTTAATCCTAGTGGAAAAGTCAATCCCCAGCTCTTGTCGTTCTCGTCTTCCCCTTTCTTCTGCCTTCCGCCTCTCTTCTCTCAGTACCTGAGAAAAGGCTGTGTTTATTTGTGCCCTTGCAAGAGGAGTGACCGTATCCTTTCTTTTTTAAGTCCCTCAATTGCCTGAGAGTGACAATACGCTCTTTTTTAAGCTTATGTGAAGCCCCCAATAGCATGTAAAACTCATCACGCTCTTTTTCCAGCTCTTGGTATTATGGCGGCGATGCCTTTATTGTCCTCAATAACACTTCGCCTTGGATGAACTCATTGGGGCTACTTAAAAGTCCTTCATATAGACGTTCTCATTGGATTCCTCAACGCCCCTGCCGTCAAAATAATTCCGTAGGAAATCATTCAGCCTCATTTTGGTGATGCGCTCCTTTCCCTCCAGCAGCACTCTTTCCAGCCGACTGTCAAAAGTCCACTTTGGTCGCTGCCTTTCCTCCACTCCTTTGCAAGTTGCAGCATGAGAACCACCACAAGAGCCACGGCGAGATGCCATCACAACACCCGTGTGGTGAAGCAGCCCACTCGCACCGTCCAACTGCGGCCAGCAGGTGCCGCTGGCTCCAAAGGACACTCGCGGCTGTTTATTCCCGCAGTCCCAATGGCGTTGGGCGTGGCACTCGCACGGCGGGGTGGTCGCTGCGCCATGCAGCCGCTCTGCAACGCCTGTCGGTGAAGCGGTCAAGGCCCACCGCCCCCGCAGCAAAGCAACGTGCAATCGGCCGCAACACCGCCACATTATCGCACTTTTTTATTTTGTTTTATTCACGTTGTCGGTTGGTTTGCCCCATCACCGACACCAAAAATAAGTGCACACCTTCACAAAAGGGAAGGAACAAAGAGAAAAGGATGCACGATCCCACCGTCCCGCCGCAAGCCAACACTCTCGTCCACCCACAACCATTGCCGCGCAGGGGACCGCAGTCACATCGCAGAGTCAGCACCACAATATGCACCACACCATCGTGCAGTGAACGATGGGCGATACGCAGCCATGCATCGCCCCGCTACATTTTCCCACCACTCAAGTATTGCGTGCCCGCACGAAGTAACAAACAGAGTGCACACAAACCCAATCAACACACTCACTCGATGAAGCACATTATTCGCATGGAGTGACAACATTTGAGGACACACCAGCAGTAGCAGGCTGCATGAAATTTCCCCGCCAACCCTGGAAAGAGACACAACAACTCTGCGGAGTCAAAGTGGCAGCCCCTCGGTGTTGCCCGCAGTCCACATGGCAAAACAAATTGCACACACAAATTGTTCCGGATTCCTCGCTAATTAAGTGCCCAACAGAACATGTGAAAAAAATACCTGCGCGCAAGATGGCAATTAAATACGTGAAAAAGTCGGCCTGCTTTCTCCGATGTTGTTGGCGAGCAGTCCCACACAATCCAATCAAAG